AACTGGGAGGAGAGGAGGAAGAGTTTTACGGGGTGGGAGGATACAAAGTGAATAAAGTGTAATTAATAAAAATTAAAATAAAAAAGACCTCCCCTATCAGTGGACTTGGGGAGGGGCATGGGTGGAAAAGGGTGCCGGAAGGAGGGATTTGGGAGGGGAGATACAAAGGGAATAAAGTGTAATTAATAAAAATAAAAAAATACCTCTAACATAAAAAAAAAATAGACAAGAGAACTGAGAAGACAGCTCAATAAGTAATATGCTTACTTGCAAGCACGACGATCTGATTTCCAGAACCCATTTAAAACAAAACAAACAAAACCAACTAGGTGTTTATAAGCATAATGATAGCATTGGGAAGGCAGAGAATATTGTATCTCAAAAGCAACAATAAGAAATGTGACTGAACAGCTGAAGAATGACACTTGAAGCTAATCTATGTCTTACACACACACTAGTTTTTTAAGATATAACAACTATGTGTTTGCTCATCCTGCCCTTTCTACATCAACTGTCTCTGAGCAACCAAATAAAAATAAGGGAAACACAATAAAATGCTAGCTATCAGGAGAAAACAAAATACCAGCATTGAAACATCATGACTTCACTGTCCTCAAAGATTATATGAATTTTAAAAATTCACATCATCAAAACAATGTCATAATGAACACAACCTTCAATGTTTGCCAAAGGTAATGAACTTGAATTTTATAACACCACTGGACCCAGCTACCAATATGCAGGAAATAAAACACTGATCTGGGCCTATATTTTGAGAATCCTTGCAACAGAGGCTTTCAAAACTGCTTTTAGCTGAAGACAATACTAAATAAACTGTTCTCAATCTTAGTCATAGAAGCTTCTTTTTACAGTGACCAAAAGTTAATACAGACTAAAAATAAGTGACTGAGTGTTCAGCCCTAAATGAGAAATCTTATCAACCCTGCCCCCAATGCTGAGAAATATTTAGGAAAAGGAGGCACATTGATGTAAAAGCCACAGTACAGGAAGGTATGCTATAAAATAATGCCTTCTGGATATGGCATGACCATTGCATGCATAAACTCAAGCAGCTGTGATTACCTCTCTGTACAGGTAAACAATCAAAATTCCTGCATGGATAGGGGAGAGACACCAAGGCCTACCCTTAGCTGAGGAGCTACTGGCAGCTGATGGCTACTGGGAGAAGGACAGTCATTTTTCTTTGGGAAAGTAGCCATTGATAAGCTGCACATGCTCTAGTGGATGGTTCCACACCTGTACACATATGAACAACAATACTCAAGCTCATTTTTTTCTCAAATTCATTTTTTAATGAATCTGAAACATGATGTGGAATATATGAGGAATAATGTGGAAACATGAAGCTGGGACCAAAATGCACTCTATACACATGAATTATTTGAGTTGAAGGTGATACTAAATACAACTAAGAGTGAAGTGTTTCATTTTGTATCTAGAGACAGTAATAGCTAACATTCTGCATCAACTACGAATACTACAAACACTGCAAATAGTGTTTCTAACCATTAGCACCACTATCATCTGAAAACCCACAAATGCAAAATCTATTCCCCCTCAAATTATGGAATCAGAAATTGGGGATGCAGCAATGTTTTAATAAATCCTCTAGATGATTCTGATGTTCCCTAAAGTTTCAGAGCCACTGTTTTAAGTATGATTCATGCATTAACTCCATTCAATTTATCCAAAATCCCATGTGGTAATAATCAGTACTTTATAGAGGAACAACTACAGTATAGCATAAAGAGGTTACTTTGTATAAGATTCAGCAGGTAAGAAAAAGATACAGCAGGTAAAAAACAGTGTCAAAACTTGAACTGAGGAAATACTCTTAAACATTGTAAATAAATCTTTACACCAGTAAAAATTCAATTTGCAGCATACTGTACAACAATCTGTGAAAGGAAAGCTTCCACCAGTGACACATATCTTTAGTTTCAGCCACTCCGGGCTAAAACAAGAGAGTTATCTGTACACAAACATTCAAAGCCAGCTTGGGATGTGGGGAAAGCAAGTATATGGGGAAATAACAGCAAAAAACAAAATATGCCTCAATAAAAGATAGGCAAATAAATTTAGCAAATAACCACCATGAAAGCTATCTTTAAAAACTGTTCCAAAACATAAGTACACACCAAATAAAATATATGTAATTATAAGAACTTAAAACCTAAGTTGTGCTAACTCATAGCAGTCTGTCTACATTTAGAAAACTTTAAGGGTTTTTTTTTTTGGAATTATTTCTTTTATGTGTATGAGTATTTTGCACATATGTGCACTATGTATGTGACTGGTTCACTGAAAGGTCAAAAAGTTATTCCATTCCTTGGAAATGGAATTTTATATGTTAGTGTGCCACCAAGTGGGAGTCAGAAAGACTCCTGGGTCCTCTGAAAGAGCAGGAAGTACTCTTAACTGGTAAGCTATTTCTCTACCCCCAAATCTTTTAATTTTAAATCATGAAAAGAATTTAAGTCCTCCCTCCACTTTTTACTTTTAGTACCTTTTATTTACCAGTACTGAAAAAGTAAAACTGCTTACAACATTTAAAATTATATGAACAAAGTATCCAGGTTGAAAAAAATTTCACATTATCTAGCTCAATCAGCTGAATCAGATCTACAACTTCCATTTGACAATACTTCATAAAAGTGAAACAAATTCAAACATTCTGTGAAACCACTGTGTCACCATTATGATTCTAAAAGATAAGTGATGAAAACCTTTTAAGGAAACGCAAAGTTGAAAATTATCAGGTTAACACCTCAAACTTGTTTTATGCAGCCACTCCTTTGAAAGCATTTTTATAACCAGAAAACCAAGATGGTCAACAAGTACATCAAGTTTTACAAACTCAACCTCTATGACACATCAACTAAAAAGCTTCCAGAGAATCTTAAGAGCTGAGTTATCCATGACATTAACATATATAAACATTTGGTAACCAGTCATTGAAGAAAGGGGTCAAAAAAACAATACAAGAAAACCATAAAAGCACAAGCACTTGTGAACTGTCTGCCTTTGGGTCTACCTCTGAGATCACTGCAAAGCAGCCCAACATGGTCACAACTACACAACAGATTTAACAACTTAAAATCAAGATTGTCCATAAGAGGCAATGTGTGAAGGGCAAATATTTTTAAAGCAACCAAGTTTGGCATTTCAATGATACTTTGAACTGGTAGTAAAAAACACACAACAAAAGGAGAACAAGCCAACACTGTTTCCACTGTGAACTTTCAGTGTTAAAAAGAGGGTGATTCAAATATTGAAATGCCCACTGTGCACAACTCTGTACTAGTTTAAGTCTAAGTGATTTTGTTTAAACTAGAGAATTGAAGTGTAAATATTTAATCACTATATCCAACATGGTTATTTTTTTTTTCTGTTGAAACCATAAAACTGCTAGAATCCCCAAGAAATCCTTTATTTAATATTTAATCAATTTTCAAATAAGAGCTTATTCCTCCAATAATAAACACAGAGCAGAAACACCTGAACTCCTCACTGGTGAGCCCATAATCATATTTATATATATCAACATTTTACATTCATGACTTTTCCACTTTCTGCCCTTTTTACATACAATTCTTAATATTTTAAAGCCAGGTAGAAGAACACTTAATTTGCCCACATTTGTATATGAGGCTGGCTGGAGGCTATGTGTCCAACTCTCATTTTCTCGTTTGACCACAGAAAGAGCATAGTACAGACCCAGAATGGCTAACATTGCATAAGCATAATAATTAAACAAAGAAAGGGGGCAGAAGGGAGAAACAAACTATTTACAGGAACTTACGTAGGGGGAAATTATTTCCAAATGAAATAAAAAGTACAATCCTAGGACAATCAATACTACAATTGAGTGTAAAAGCTGAAAGTAACAAAGCCCTCAAAAACTTTTATTGGGATTTCAAGAACTGTGCAGTGGCCAGCATAATTCATCAACCGGTTAATAGCAAAGTTCAGGATCAAAAAAGCTAGGATAACACCAAAACAGAGCATAAAAAACAAAACTACCTAAGAATATTGCAAATACAGATTGAAAAAAAAAAAAAAAAAACCACCTTACAACAGGTCATTATCTAGAAAACATTAGCTTTTTCTTCCAGAAGGCCTGTATTTCAGTGGAACACAGTGGGACCAGGACATAGAACTAAAATCAAGTATCAAATCAAAATGCCATAGAAAAAGGAACCCATGACTAGCTATTTTAATATACGGACTAGGCCAGCAGTATCAACTCCAACTGGAATGTAAGAGATTACTACCATTGTCCAATCATAATAGGTTCTCTAGGGTCTTTAACAAGAATGGGTTAGACATCACTATGTGTTGTAATTTTCAAATATGAGGAAAATGCAAGACAATTTAAAAAACAAATTGGAAAAAAAACAAGACAATGTTTAAAATAGATTTAAAGTCTATATAAACTATTTGGTAAATGGACTTTTCTCTGGACCCTGGTTCAAACAAACTATAAATAAAACAAAATATAAAGGAAAATTTAAAACTAGTGTAATTTCTACTTTTAAATTTTCAATTGTGAAAATTACAGTTATACTGTCAAGAACTTTCTCAATGTATCTAATTTGTATAGATAAAATAACATGACAGGAGAGGTTCATTTCAAAGTAATTCTATGGGAAAGAAAATGCCAAAGGATAGAACTAGAAAGGTTAAAGTTAATAAATGTTAAAAGTACCTGAGTGAGGGGACGTCATACTACTCAGTTTAGTATGTTTAAAAATTTGTAAATAAACTTAAAAATCATGTACTGACAGTATAAATTTAAACAGTTCCTTTTCCCTTTCAGTAATGAGCTCCATCCACTAAAATGTAACAAAAAAACAATCAAGAAAAAAAAACACACAATGGAACCAAAGTAGCACAAGCACAAAATGGAAATTCCCGCCCATCTCCATTGCAAGATATAAATTACAAATACCACCCATAAAGATCTAAAGAAAACTAACCTAAAATCACAACCAATCATAGTCATCCTGGTGGGAAATCTGCTGCAAGAGCTTCCTATAACTTCCTGACCAAGTTCTGTTCTGCTGGTTTATTCCACTGAAGCACTAATAAAGCCACTCAGGTCAGGCTCCTGGAGGACCTATAAAATAAAAGGGATGAGGAGAGAAAGAAGTATGTATTTATTAGAAATGGGTAGTTAACAATTATATCAATAAACACAATCAGTTATTTTTGAAGCAATAGCTCTTGAATGACAATATGCATTTTTGGGACCTGCTTTGAGCAGTAACTAAAGAACCCAGAAACCAAGAGCTGTATAATGTTTCTAATGACACTTAGATAATACCCCTGAAAACTGTTTCAAACAAAAAGATAGCATGTTTAACAAACTGATACTAAGGAAAAGGCGTGTTTTTCTTAAAAAAGAAAGCTGTATAGATTAAAATTATTTTTCACTTTCATAGGTGCTTTTTGGCTATACTAGGAGACAAACGATAAACATCCTGGAAATTCAGGTTGAACTTTGTCAATGAATTTTAGACAAAGTTTTCATTTGGTACTGTCACTCCCTCTCTTCTCAGAAATCTTCCTAGAATAAATTAAACCTTTTGGGTCATGCCCAGATCATCATTCCCAGATTTACGATAATGCTCAAGGACAAAAGTTAATTGGTTGATTATTACTTAACCCATTGTAAAAGGCACCAAGACAAGAATCTCAAAGGAAAGTGACCTATCTTCCAATGAAAGAGGAAATTCATTTACCTACAGCACTTCCAACTCAAACCCTGAAGCTCAAAACTGAAATCTACATATAGTTATTATCAGACGGTTAGCCACTGTAAAATTTCTCTTTTTTTAGAGATTTCTTAGCAACCTTTAATTTATTTTTGAAAGATATTTTTTAATTTTATTTTTTTCTTATCAGTTACATTTTATTAACTCTGTATCCCAGCCATGTCCCGCTCCCTCATTCCCTCCCAATCCCACCCTCCCCCCCTCATCTCCACCATGCCCCTTTCCAAGTCCACTATAGGGGGGACCTCCTCCCCATTCATCCGATCCTGTTTTATCAGATGCCACTGTAAAATTTCAATGACAGTGTACTTCTTTTGCCAACATATTCCTATTTCAACCTTGTCATCCAACCAACATACTTAGGGGAAAAAAACACTATCTAGTATTGATCTAACAAAAATATTAACAGTAAGGAAAACTACTCCCAAATCAAAATATGTTACAAAATATAAAATGGCAAAAGCACAACAGGAGGTAGTTTATCAAAGAGACAGCTGTGGTTGCCTTTGGAGGAAAATGCTGGGATTTGGTTAAATCAACCTTCCTAATGCCTTGCCTATATGTATTATCCTGCTCAAATAAAATGATGCCAAACAAGCCTACATACTGGCCCCAGAGGGTCTAAATAAATGAGATAAAGACAAAGAAATAAAAACATCTGAAACCTATCTAAAAGAAATTCTCTTTAACACTACACAATGGTATAGCATTAAATTTCATTACTTTTGTGGGGTCAAGGACAGGACAGATTGTCTTTGAAGGAGTTGGAGAAATGAGTAGGCAAGAGATGAGGCACTCACTTCCAAAAGGTAGAACACCTGGGTGTGGTTCATGACAGAAACACAGCTGGTGGTCATTCCAAGAGAATTTTTCACTCGGTCTTACTCTAATAAAAGCTTCAAAGAGTGGGAATGTATTCAAATATCATGAGCCACTGTTCAAAGTGGTTCATAAGGAAAAAACACAAAGCAGATAGGAGTGGATAGGTATTATTCCTAAACGAAAAAATTTACAGCTTAAATTAACAATTAAAAAAAATAACTAACTTTTCCCAGGCTATAAAGGTAGCATATGACAAAAAGTCTACCAATATATTCTCACATTTAAAAGGTACCCAAATTTATTGTGTTTCTATGAGGCAGGCATTTTACAAATTTTCTCACTAATTCCAGAAACAAACCTTTAAGGTAAGCATTGCTATCCTTGTTATACAGATGAACTGAATCTGAAAAGTAATTTGCCCAAGGTCATGAGTTCAATGTGAACTGGAAGCAAACAATATTTTCTACACCCAGCTGCTTCCCATGAATGGGGAATGTTGGCATCTCCTCAATCTATGCAACACTGGTGCTAAAAGAAGTAATTCAAATCACGTTATCTACAAAGGAAACACACGATAGGGAATTGTCTCTAACAGGTTATGTGAGGGGAAAGTAAGTAAATTTAAAAAGTGTGACTGTTTAAGGGGTAAAACACACGTGGTGGAAGAAAAATGTACTGGAGGTCTGACACCTCACTAGGGAATTCAGTTCTTTTGGGATGGGAGGAAGAGCGGTTGAGGGAGAATTGTTAGGAGAAAGAAGTGACAAGTACTTAAATATGGCTAACAGTAACAAAAATAACAAAAAGATAGCCACAGATCAACAGAGTACAGAAACAGGAAAGGGGGCGGGTCCCAGGGTTTGTAGAGTGGAAGGGGCTGGAAACACAGAAAGTTTGGTGGAGGGAGGGAACAAGACCACTAAGACTGCAATTATCCAACCACTGACCCATTTATTGTTCTGCCCAAGAATGGTATCAAAGCTTTCAAAGTTGAAGAAACCAGTATCCTGACCCCGCGTTACGAATAAAGAGGACCTAAGAAAATGGAAGGTTTCTATGGCTCCATCCACAAAGATGGAAACAAGATAGGCTCTGTTAACATCTGCGCCAAAAGCATGGAAGGAGATGGGACAGGCTAGATGATTCAGGCTAGGCTCTAAATTAGGCGTAGGGAGAATAGGGAAATTTTCTACCCTCCCTCCCCAAATAATGTATCCCAATATCCACGTAGCTGAGAGATTTGACAGGGAGATAGTATTTGGGGAGGGGAAGGAGTACTCTAGTGACTACAAACTAACCCCTCAAACCTTAGCTCAAAACCCATGGGAGCTGGGGAAGTAGAGCCCACCTCGACTCAAGAAAACTAGTGGTTCATATAGGTCGTCGCAAAGGCTGAGCAGCAAGCGCAGAAAAATGATGAGACCAGTCTTCAGCGCGTCCCCTCTTCCACCTTTTAACCTAATCCCCAGCCCACTACCCAATAACTATCGACTCCCTCCCACACTTCCCAACCCGCCCACTGCGCCGACAAAAACGGAGGCGTGAGCGGTTGGTGGGGCAAAAGCAGGCCCACACGCGGCTAAGGCCGAAGAAATTGTGTCCTTAGCCGGTAAGAAACAGTATGGTCTTCAGCTCAGGAAGGATTTACCGGCACCACGACGTTCCACCATGCGTCATCTCCTTAACGTCTGGTAGAAGCGTCACAAACGTGGATAGCTAACCCCTTGGTACCATGTACTAGCAAGAAAGACATCAGCCTCCGCCGCCATCTTAACAGGCAAGCCGACCCTAGTAACTGGCCCCCCCACTTCCAAGTTATCTCCGCCACCGCTGGCGAATCCCACGAGGACGTAACCCTGCTCCCGCGAGAACTCACCGGCTAAGAACAGCACCACTAGAAGACGCTGCTTTTGCCTCCGCAGCTCCTGCACTCAGTAGCCAACCTTGGCTGCCTTCGCGTGATCCCAGAAGAACCTCCACCGGACCAGGAAAAACTGAACCCCAGCCCGCCCCAGACCTCTCCTTTCACCAGATCCGAAATCGCTACAGCTCCACTCTTACCCCACGCGAAGCGAAAAGCAAATGACGCACAACCTCACGGAGCACTAAGGGGTGGAGCCAATATGCCGCCGCCGGCTCCCGCATGCGCTGTGAGAACTATCGCGATATTACATTCAGCCTCGGCGAGACGTTCGTAATTCACTGCAGAATGCCGCCCGCGCCTCGCCTTTAGGAAACAGGAGATCTCGCGAGACCGGGTGCACGCTCCTAAAAAGGAGAAAGGCGGGGCTTCGTGAAAATGACTGGGAGTTTTTCGGGGAAAGGGAGGAAGCTCTCGTCCTTTAGTGATCTCGCTTACCACGAGGTTTTCGACCCACTGCGGAGCTTGGTACCAAACATCGCGATGACACAGCTCAGCGCCAAATCTCGGCCATGTCTTGAAAACTACCTCCGCCCCCGATTTAGGTGTCTATAGCCTGTCTAGTGCTTGAGGAAAATTTAAAAAGTCAACCTGTCTATTCTCACGCTTCCATCAGGCTGTACCAATTAGCCAAACTCCATTCTGGAAGCGAAGAAATGAGTATCCATTGTTACCTGCCTCGAAGAATAACATGCTATCCTTAACTAACACAAAAAAAGATGTTCAATATCACAATAAACACATAAATGCAAATGAAAACAATGACACAACAGTTTTTGCTCATAACATTGGGGAAAAAAATGTAAAGACCTCTAATATCCATGCTTTTTCCTTCGCCGCACTGCAGGCTAACCTGAATCCATCTTAATCTAAGTAAAGGCTCACATCATTAGTTTTATCTCCCAAGTCACCAGTTTTAATTACCGAAGCTGTACCTTTGCATTACCAAAACACCCAATAAAGTGGTTTTCTCCAAACAAAGGAGTCTGCCCTCAAAAGCAAATTCAAGCTCGGGGTGGGGAGGTAGGTGCTTAAACATTTTAATATGGCAGTTTTTCCATGTCTAACCAACAATGTTTCTCCAATATATCCTAGGATACAGCCTGGCCCATTTGTGGGCTTTATCCATTCTAATGCATTGTTCTGCCTATTCTAATTTAAACATGCTTCCTTCAGAGTACAGTATCCCCCACCTTTAGTTATCTTTAAAAACAATTTATCGTCTATTTTTAGCCATCCCCCATCATAAACTTTAGAATCGTCAAGTTCCAAAAACTTAATTTATTGGAATTGCATGAACTGTATAAATCAATATAGAAAAATGAACATCACTATAAAATTGAATCTTCCTATTCAGAAGCATGATATTCCTTCCCCATTTATGCAAATGCTCCTCAAAGTTTTATAGTTTACTACCAGATATTTTTATTTTTCTAGGTATTTAGAGTAGGGCTTTTTAGTATTAAATTTTCAAAATGTCCATTGCTTATATATAGAAAGAGTGTCCATATCTCACTATTCACTTTTGTAATGAGAAAAATAAAAATATGATCAAATATATAGTAATAAGCAGCAAAATGCAAATGAAAGCAACGACGTGATTTTTTACTCTATAACTGTAAAAATATAAACAGTAACAATTCATGTAGGCACTGCTAGGGAAAAATAGGGTTATCTTGTATTACACTGGAGATTGTAAATTATAATGGCCTTTGGGGAAGGGAATTTAGACAAATCTGTTAAAATTCGAAATGCATACAATTTTTGATTCAGCAATTACTTCTCGAAGAATTTCCCCCACAGGAATACCCTCATGCATGTGCACGAAACATACACAAACCCATTCATTACTGCACTACTTGCGATAACCCCCCACCCCCCAAAGAAAACAAGCTAGTGTACAACAGTCAAGAAACGGTTAAAGAAACAGTAGTCCAGGCATACAATGCAGCAATATAAAAATAGAACAAAGTCGGATTCCCTGATACTAAGATCTATAAGACATACTGTTTTAAAAAATTAAAGCAATAAGACAAAAATGTGTGTCCAGTTCATACATACCAGAACACACACACATATATATTATGAGCATGCGCGCGTGTGCGCGCACGCGCGTGTGTGCGTCTAGTAGTAACCATGAAGCCTGCCTGCTCGCCCCTCACCTTCCTTTTCCTCGAGGCCGCCTTTTCCACAACCTTAAGAGGAAAACCGAAGGCACCGCCTTTACTCCCTCTCTAGGGCCACTTGGCCAGGGCTAATTGCCGGTACCTCGCATCCCCACTGTTGGCCACTGTCACGCGCGCTGTTCGCTGCTTCCCCAGCTGCCCTGCAGTCCCCAAAGATGCAGCTAGCTCTCTGCTGGAGGCCGCTGAGGTCTGGGGGAGGGGAGAGGAGGAGGGGTTCAAGGAAGGTTGCTGCTGCCGCTCGGCCCCTTCAGCAACCTTTCCCTAAGGCTCTCTAAGGCTGCCACCTTGGAGCCTCGGAGGTGGATCCCGTGGGAACTACCCCCTACCTCGGGAAATCTAAATCAGCCCGTCTCTCAAGCCCAAGAAGCGGGGAGGAGGGTACGACGCTCACCTCAGCCGCAGGGGCTCAGCGAGGCCTGCAACAACAGCGTGCAGGATCTGATGCCAGTAGCAATCCTGTTCCCCCCCCCACCCCAACCCCCTCCCTCGACCTCGGTTTATAAATGCTCCCCCCACCCCCTGCGGCTCGCTCACACTGATTTTAAGGCTCCTCCTACCACGCGATAAGCCCCGCCTCTGTCCCTTGAGGGGGCGCTCTTGCTCCCCTGGTAGTATATTCTGGTCACCTACCGGAGACCTTGCGGGAGCTACTATTAATGGCCCAATGAAGGCAACCTTAGAGGATAGTAGGATCACTAAGGAACTGGGATTTGATTCCTCTACAATGAAATGGTATACATTTTAAAAATTAAGGAATTGAGAGTGAGGGATAAGAGAGCAAGATAAGAACCCATTGTGGAGGGTCAGAGAAAGGAATGAGAACCGCAGTGCAAATCTGCAAAACACTTTAGGCGCATAGTACTCCCACTCAAACATTTCTCCTTTGTATTAGGTGAGTTGGCACTGTGATTGGAGGAATCTGTAGAGGATTTACATTTGTAAATGTATACAAATAAAAATGACCTGGTGGGAAATGACCCTGTTAACAGCTATTGGTCTGGGAATAGAATGAAATTGGAGAGTAAAATGATTGGGGATGGAGGGTATTGATTTGCAACTCGGAGTGCTTCAATAAGGTTTGAATTAATACAAATGTATTAATTTGATTTTTAAGGCAAAAATGAAAAGGCACTAGTGAAAGAATCCTTGAGACATTAATTCCAACATTACAGAACGGTGGTTCATGCCTTGAATTGGAAATCTGCTGAATGGAACTACTCCCTCCTTCCCCGTGGTACAGTTATACAATAAGTTTTCTGTACAACCTAAGATACACAGAAGGCCTTTTGAGGTGGTCTCATTATATATTCTTAACAACGATGTATTTAGTGAGTGACTAATTATTTTTTAACTAATAAAGCTAATTTTTTTTAACTAATACCCTATGTTTAAGTCCTGTTTATTATTTTTTTAAAAAAAACAGACTTGGCTTCTATGATAGCAGACATTGGAAAGGAGCAGGCATGTTTCTGTGCCATCCATCTATCCATCACCTTGGCTTCAAAAAGGGCTACAAGATAATGAAGACAAGTATATCAACTTTAAACAGTAACTGATCAGAGAGGTATGTATCTTTGCCTGATAAAGCAGCACACAATGGACCTACTTGATGTCTCCAAGAACAAAGGAGACCATAAATTCACCAAGAAAATGGTGGGGACACAAATCTATTCCAAAAGGAAGAAATGCTAAGTAAAATCTTTGTTGTGTTGAGGGAAGCCACTACCAAAGACTGACCTCCTCTTCCCCTTTGTAAAAATACAGAAAAGAAAGAACTGTTGATAGGAACTTTCTAATGATGGTGTTTGTAGAAAGAGAGTAGCTCTCCAAAAAAGTTTCAATGCAGTCTCACCTGAAATGTATGAAAATTCTAGTTTATTTAGAATACTTCTATACCCTCACCCCATCCATTTAATAAGCCCGTTCATTGTAGGTTCTGGTCTCTTACAGCATCTGCTTTAATTCTATGTCCATTCTTAATTGTAACCCCTATTTCATTCATTCTTTCTTTCTTTTTTTTGTTAGTGAGAGAGAGACAGGGTTTCTCTCTGTATCCTTGGCTGTCCTAGGCTCACTTTGTAGACCAGGCTGGCTTTGAACTCACAGAGATACACTTGCCTCTGCTTCCTGAGTGTTTGGATTAAAGGCCTATGCCGCTGCACCTGCCTTCTACTGTTAATTTCTTGACCCCTGAAATCTAATTCCACACCTCCAATTCTAAAATCCCATATGTCCCACAGCCTTAGTTTACATTTAAGTCTGCAGCAGTTGCTCATTCTTTTGCTGATTCTATTCCTCCAGTATTAATTTCAACCAGTACCATCTCCCCACATGTATGTTTTGATTTTTCTTATTTTAAAAGTCCTAACAAAATATATGAAAGCATAACAAAAACATTAAAAAACTGGACTCTAAACACCCAGAGATGACAATTATTAATGTTTTAATTTTATATTTTTATTAACATTTATCTACATATTACATGGAATAGACATAACAAAAATAACAGTAAATTATTAATGACCTAGTGAATGTCATAATACTGAATATTTGTCTATAATATTTCACCTTTCACAAAAGTGCCTTTATTTATTTACAGAATCCAGGAAAAGATAATCCATATAGGGAAAAAAGAAATTCCAAAGTCTTCCGTCAGTGTCCAAGAAGTGGTCCAAGGGTCTTTCATTTCCAGTAGCAGCTACTTTCAGATCATAAAGCTGAATCTCCCTAAGTTTCTCAAGCAGCTACCATCCATTTAGACCCAAACAGCTTGTCTTGCAACTTCTGAGTTCTTGGTTCTACTGAGATCTCCGAGATCTCAGTAGACACCTGTCATCCTGGACCAGCTCCTTGTCTGGGGTGGGAGCAAGAGAACTTGTTCATTTGCAGCCTGAAATCTTCTTATTGGAGACCATAATGTCAAGGGCGTTATTAATCATGTAGTACTT